TCACCCACCCCCGCCACCCCGCAGGGGCCACAGGGCAGCCTGAGAAGGCGGAGCCCTCGTTGCGCCGAGCAGTCCCTTCTCCGGGACCCCGGGGGCGCGGCCTGAGCCCTCCCGAGCCCCCGGAGCGGCGCTCCCGGTGCGGGCGTCCGGGAGCTCCCGGCGCCGGGGGCCGCCAGCCCGACCCGCAGGGTGCTGTGGAAACCCCTGGTGGTTTTACAGCCTCTTAAAGGTGTCGTAAACGTTCTCAAAACAAAGCCTCCCGCCACACGGCTGGTATTTATTTACTCAGCGTGTGCCACAAATGGCTGTTTGGGTTACCCGAGTAGTTCTAGTTAACCTGGCGTCCTGGTTCTTTTGTTAGAAGAAGTCCCTCAACAAGCAGAGGGCATGTGATATGAAATAATCATAAATAATAAACCGCAATGCTCTTCTTTTATACATTTAGATATTTTCAGGAATTATGGTCTAGGGTCTGTTGTTTAATGACACTCTTATTTTGTTTTTTTATCTAACTAGTGATACCTTATGGGATCTTGCTATAGCTGAAGTGGAGAAGAGAGAGAACCCTGACGACGATGGCAAGCATGTGGAAGTTTGGGAAAAATCAATATTATTTATGGGAAACAAAAACGGGGTAATGCTAAATACTGCACAGTTCTGTGCTTTTTGCACATGGCTTGTGTCAGGGAAAATATGTGATTTTTTCGGATATTAAGGTCCACTTAATTCTTCTAAAGACAAAATATGTCATGTTCTGATTCTGCAGAGAACAGACCGTTGACCCGTTAGACATTATTACAATTCGCAAGTTCAAGTTTAGGGTTTGGAGGGTCAAAACTTCAACCACTGTTATGGGTGATGTGCTAATTCTTTGAGGTTTGGCTTAATTCATTTTTGTACAAGTAACTGCTGGAAATAATGCTACTGGCTTTAATTGTTTGACATTTCAAATTTCCCCTTGTAAAGGTTTAACTGGTAACAATCCAATTTAAGTGCATTGATACCAGTTTTGTTGTAAATAGAGGCCTTGACATCTTGCTATGAATTTTGTCTGTGTTACATCAGACCTATTGGAACGTGCCTTATCAGTCACTGCAAACTCATGATTCCACATGCCTAAGGTTGTTTTAACTCATTGTCCCATAAGTTTGGTCATTAGTAATTTCATATTTTTCTTCCGTTAGCATTTATTTGTAAAGTAAATAAGGAAATACTTGCTTTTTTGACCAAGTGAGTCATATTTTTGAGAGTACAATTTTTGTTTTAGAAAGATTGGTATATGTGCAACCTCTTAATCAGTGATTTTTTTAATACCTTTTTCAGAGAAAATACAATGACTTTTCAGATTCACCTGAAATTCACTGATTTTTAAGATAGAAAAGGACACAGGGGTAAACTTTAGAAATGCTAGTCCCTTCAGTATGGCACGGTACTCAGTGTCTGAATTTCAACAGTGTAAAGACATATTTTTCTGTATGTTTACTTGTATTTTAAGCATTCTTTTTATTTCCATCTCATCGATAATAATTAATTCCAGTGGAAACCAAACATTACATAAATGTATTAATAATTAAAAACTGTTAAACAGTTTAACAGAGTTGGCCAGGTTGATCACTAGTGTCTAACTTTAAAGCACTCTATTCCTATTACTGTGTCATCTCTATTAGTTTATAATTATAATAATGGTAGTGTAACTTGTTTTTGACAGAAAGTTGGCAGTTGAGTTTCCACTATAAGGCTACAAACAATTACATGAGTTTACACTTTTCCGGTGCTTTATTATTGGAATGTTGAATGAGTGAGTTGCATGTAGTGATACAACTTTTATGCTTTAATGACAGTACAGTAGGGTTCTTCTTTGTTTTTAACTTCCAGGGAAAGACCACTATTATACTGAGGTGTCTTGACAGGTATGTGTTAAACTTTGAAAAGCAGTTTTCAACTGTGGATTAGAATTTTACATGAATAGTTATATTGTGTGATAATTCATAATATATGTATACAGATGTTGTATTCTGTGACTGGTTGACCACTTATAGATAAACTTACTTCCCTCCACTTACCCCTTCAGTCCTTCTTCTACGGTGTTGGAGAGCTTAAATGGCTATCCCTTCAGGTTGGTGCTGCTACTTCTCAGCAGCTGTCTTCAGCAACTGAGATCTGTTGTCTTATAGTGTCCTCTCTGTACTGCTGTTTGTAAGCCAAATTTTGAACTGAATGATAAATATAATTTAATAACTGGAGAATTAACTTTATTTAGAGGATCTTGACAAAATGAAGTTATTTTCCCTTGCATAGGGAAGAGGCTCCAAAGCCAACATTTGCCTTGGAATATACTTTTGGAAGAAGGGCAAGGAGACACAATGCAGTAAGTATCCAGAAATTATAGTTTACCATATCTTTATATATACACACACACGCATAAAAATAATATGTGTTTTATTTTTATGTATAAGAATCTTAGGGGTTTTAGCTTATTGTTTGTGAAGGAAAAAGTGGTTTTTTTATATAATTTTTTTTTCAATTAGGCGGCTTAATTTTGTATTTTAATCTGTAATATGTTTTTCTCTCTCACTAAAACACAGTAGATCAGAGATCAAAGTATAACACAAAGCAATCGAATTCCTCTATAAAAACAACCTTGTTTGTCGTGTTTGATTGCTTTTATTTTCCCATTGTAACATAGTATGCATGCCTTTAACTTTGTCTTTAAAATGAAAAAGGAGTAAAAACCAATGAAGATGCTTTACAACCGGTGTTACGAGAGAAGCAGTCATCTTAGAAGACGTTAAATCATAATTAAAATTTTGGGTTATAGGTCCGTATCGCTAAATTTCTGTTAACGTAATCTGCAGTGCAAAATATTGAACCCATTCCCATGGCAGCACAACACTGCCCAGCAGCAGTAACTATTGCTGCAGGTAATTGCTGTTTCTGTTACTGAAGCAGGGAGTGGAAAATCTGACTCCGAAAGATAAAAATCACTTAAAACTTTTCCCAGAAACTAAACATGAAGGTAGAGATTCATTACTTTTCCAGTTGCAAACTTCTCAAAAAGCATTAATCTTGAGCTGCAATAAACAAAAAGAAAGAGAAGACAACTTGATTTTTTTAATGTTTATCATTAATCACGCTGCTTCCTGACGTTTTTACTTTACCATAGTAATTTATCGAGACAGTCATGGGCATGCCAGGAGTCTTTTGTAAGTAGTGTATGGGATTTCTTGAACAAGTTTTTTATTTGGTTTTGCTTTTCAGAAAATACTAGTGAAATAATATATGTTTTTGTTCTGAGTCATTTGCATGAAAAGACAGTTTATCAGATGAAGATCTCTTGGTGTTGCATGGAAGCACATGTTTCTAATGTAAAGAAACTCTTTCACAGCCTAAAGATATAGCTCATTTTTGGGAACTAGGTGGTGGAACTTCATTACTGGAACTGATTCGAATACCAATCACTAGCAACAATGTAAGGTAAGAGATTAATATTGCAATTCCAAAGTTAATTTCAGCTTTCCTTCAGTCTATAGATTGTAGGAAATCTAGTAAATCTCTAGACATTTTATTGTGGAAAACTCTTTCCAAAAAATGTAAGATAGAACATTTATGATTTTTCTGAAAATCATTGTAATACCCCTGATACTTTGCTTTGATCTTCCTTTTCATGGTTCTCTCCTAATAAGACAAGTTCCTAGCAATCTCCAACACAAGAAAAAGCAATAACCTGAAGGAAATAGGTTGGCCTTAGGTAGACAGAACAAGAAATACAGAAAAAGAGAAGACATAATATGTTTACGCTCTGTGAAAGAGCAGAAAAAGCAGCTTGGGGGCATATGAAAAAATAAAATCTTGCTTCTTATTTCTGTACGCAACATAGATGCTGTCTCTGCGAGGGGCAGTATTTTAGGGTGAAAAACAGGGCAGAAAATTGTGACCAAAAATCTGGATTTTTGGGAAGTGAAGTGGCCATCTGATGAGAAGAAGATCATAGAAGAGAGGTGGTGTTTCTGAGAGGGACTAAAACTATTAAAATGATTTGGAGACAAAAGGAAACAGGAGTTTAGAGAGAATTAAGAGAATGCAGTGACAAAAACCCATAAAAGTGATGGAATAGCATAGGAAGAAGAAATGCATAAAGAGTTGCATGAAGAAATGAGATAGGGATGGGGAGTGCATTTTACGTTTTTCCTGGTTAGGGAAGATGGCGTTGAAAGTGAAAGAGGAGAAAAGGATCAAAAGATATGTTTTGTGTTATGATGCATTGCTTTATTTCTTTAGTGAGATTTAACTTCTGTGGGGAAAAAAAAAAGAAAGAAAAAAGGAGGGATACAATTTTTAACATATACATTTGCTACTGTTTTGGCTATTGAGATAATGCCATTATTTAGTGAGAGACAGACAGAAGGCATTAAAAAAAAACCCACTTCTGGCATTTGAAGCTTTTTGTTTCTAGAAGACCTTGGGGGAAAAAAATCAACTATCATTTTTCAGCTGTTGTCTAAATAGACCTAACTGAGCTCCATCTCCATCAGTCTTTTCTTCTCTTTTTACTGATAAGGAATCTTCTGATGTGGATGATCTTAAGATTCTTTGATGGGATAGCAACATTGTTCTGTAAGACCGCTTGTGTTCATAGGGCTCTATTTTAATATGCTAGTCAACAAATCTACCATTTCAACTAAAGTAGAAGTGCTTTTCACTGGTTTTCTCATCTGTCTGTAGTCAAGCAATTTGCTTATTTAAAAGTTCCACGAACTGTATCTAGTTTCACCAAGAGACTTTTCACCACATTTTTGCCCCACACCATTTTAAAGTGAAATTGAACATTCTCTTTGCTTTGTTGTGTTTCTACCACCACTCTGGTCTGGAATCCCCGTTTTCAAGTCAGGATGGAATGTGAAAGAGTGATTGCCTCAGTTCAAATGGCTGCATTTGCAATGTTCTTCTTTACAGATGGACTTTAATGCAGTTAGAGTTTGGAGGCAGTGTTTTGGAAGGAGAGGAGTTTATACGTAAAACATTTCTCATCATAACCCACTTTTAAAAGCCTGGTAATTGCTAAGTATGTCTTGAGTACTCTGACTTCTTCCATTTATCTTTCAGAAGGTTTTCTCATACACCCATTTGAGGTCACAGCTAATTGGCACAGTCCATGGCTTAGAATATTGCCCTTAACCAATTTTTTTCCACTTCATATTACAAAAGAATAATGAAAGTATAGAACTTTCTAATACATTAATGGTGAGGAACCTAACCATTTGCTAACATTGCTTCATCTGGGATTGTAGAGTTAGGAGATGGCAGGGATACATGTCAGTAGAAGTGCCCAGCCATATAGGAAGGAGGAGTTAAATGGGCTCAGAATATTTGCATATTTTACTTCTTTGAAACAAAGTCTCCAGAAACAAAGTTTAATGTATACAATCCCCCAAAAAACCTCTGATGGAAAGTCGCCAAAGTAATAGTTCTGAACAAGAGATGAGAGTTTCTTCAGAGCTCAGAGTATCCTTAAAAGCCATCTTCCTTTGCTGTCAGAGTTAATTCTATCTTAGTATTTGTTATGTTCACATTTGTTGCTTTCAGCATTTGTAGGGCATTTCATATGCATTTTCATGCATATGAAAACGTTAATTGTCTCATGCACTAAAGATTTGACCACATAATGCCTCTTTAATAGGTCATTTGGTGTAGTTCTTGTATTGGATCTGTCCAAACCTAATGAACTCTGGACTACTATGGAGAAACTTCTGCAAGTCACCAGGAACCATGTCAACAAAATTTTAAGCAAATTAGAAAAGACAAATCCTGAAGTAGCTACTGAAATTAAACAGAGGATGCGGAACAGTCTGCAGAGGGATCATCCAGTAAGTTACCTCTAATATTTTCTCCAGATGTCACAGGCCTTTATACAGTTAAAGATAATGCTTTTGAAAATCATAAACAACTCTTTTAGATTTTTATGCATGACTGAAAATCCATTTGATGTAGATGAACCTGTTCACTGGAAAATTATAGCAATTTAATAAAAATTCAATAAGAGCTGAAACAAGGAAAGAAGGTTTCTTATATCTTTTTGTTAGATATCTAATGTGATTGTTATGGCATGTTACACCAATCAAAAGAAATAGTTTTAGAGTAGCAGTTTGCTTTTTTTCCCCCCTCATCTTTTTAAAATGAAGATGAAAACTAGAACGTACAAAAGTCATCTAGCAAGAGACTCGCTGAAGGTACAAATTTAAGCAAAGAATATAGTTATAACAGCCATCAACATGACTATATACTTTGCATTTATTTAAATGTCTATCACAAACTCAATGCCTTTTGATAATCTGACAACTAATTAAATTATAAAGTTTCAGAAATGTTAACATCAGTCCTTTAAACATAATTGCTAACTAAATCTCTGGAAAAGCTAAACTAGATTATGCGCAATAGAAGTGAAAAGTCATTGTGCATTAAACCTCTGCAAATGTTGTGTGTATGTAATGCATAAATAAGTATTCAACAATTCAAAGGCTTGGCACATAAATCTAGTTACTCTAACTTCTATAAAATGCTGCAGTACAGCAAATGCTTATATAGCTGAAAAATTTAAAAGTAACTTAAAATTTTTGAGAAAGCAACATATGCAACACAGCAGATTTAGAGTATAGGGTTTGAGATCTGCTGGATTATGATTTTAATTTTTACTTTTAGAGAAGGTAATTCACAAAAAGAAAATGCCTACAAGCACACTTGGCAATAAATCATGACCAGTGTCAAGTGTACATATAGAGGCTTACATATCAGAAAACTGCAATCTTTATTCAATAATTAAAAAGAATAATGCCATTAATTGTTAAGAAGAGAAGACTTGTTATACTTGCCCCATAGGGAGCACAATTATACCTTCTAAACTAGAATTTCTCTTCAGACTTCATTATCGAAACCAGAAAGGATGCAAACAAAATGTTATGTTACTCCTTGGTTCTCTTTTTACTTTCGTCATTGGTCAGGAAAAAAATATGTCAATTTTGTGGGAGGGAGTAGTATCTTTTATAGTCAAAGTAAATGCCAGTTTACGCAGATTTTTATTTGCCTTTTATAGCTAAACATATTTTTATGATAAACAGGAATTGATGAGGTTATTTTAGAGAAAGATTAGGTATATTCCATTGGCCTGGATAAAGAATTACTGACTATGATGATAAAGCATACCAGTTGCAGACCTTGTTTAAAAAGGCTGGATGTCCCTGAAGTAGTCCATAGTCAAAGATTAATTCCATAGTCAAAAGATGAATAGGGTTCCGTATGCCAGTTTTAATGTTTCTCATGTTATCCCGAATTATTTTTTTCTTAATTAAGAAACTAAAACTAATTCTTTTCATTTCTATGCATCCAGTTTTAAGATAATTTTGCTCAAAGCATTTGCCTTGATGGTGTATGAGTGAAGCCATTATTTTCCCTGTCAAAGTAGAGTATTTTCAGTACGTACAGCGTCTTGCTAATACACTGACTGTCATTTAACCTGGATGTGAAATAACCGTGTTTGGAAGGGAGCAGTTAACAGTCAACCTCTGCTACAACACATCTGTTTTCCACTCGGCTACAGCCAACAGCTTGACTAATTAATTGTGTGAACAAATGAGGGGATTGTCTCATTTCATATGGACTACAGGAGAACCTTCCAGATAACTTAACAATTATTATAATCTATTTATTAAAACTTTTATCACAAGTTAACTATTTAACAGCTAAATCTACATCCCCAGAGCTGTTTTTGTCCATTGGTGTCGATTTGCATTTTCATGGTCGTTAGGTGACGTTTCGTCTTTCTGCTGATATCAAACATTTGAAAATCACATTAAATATCTTTTAAGAGTTTGGAAAATGTGATGTGGGGAGGACAAAGGTGTGACACAAGCAAATCATTCAGCTTAATTTTCTTGAGCTTTTGTCTGTATTACTTTGGATAGGATGCAAGGAGAGGGAATGTGTCAAAAAGGCAGTTCTACTAATCCAGTCTGGCAGTTTGAATATAAGAGATTTTTCTTCTCTTCCCTTCCCATCCAATATTGGAGCTGGAGTATATAGCGTAAGAGTCCTTTTATGCCAGTACATGTTCTGACTGCTGAGAGGGATTATTTCCTGACCATTTATGAAGAAAATGAGCAAATTGTAGAATATGGTATGGATATTGCGTTGAAGTTTGTTCATCTAACTTAAGGTTTTGAAAAAAGAGACCTTGTCTTCTGTGAATTAATTTTAACCCCTTTCAGTTGTTTTAACAGTTGCAATCTTCCACAGTTTGTTTACACTGCTTAACTGTCATGTATCTCTTTAACAGGATTATGAGTTAGTTGACCCTTTTCCAATACCCTTGGTGATAATTGGAAGCAAATATGATATTTTTCATGTAAGTGTTAATTATTTTTTTTCAAATAATTAAAAGATTCCTGGTAAAGATTCCATGTACTAAAAGCTTGCTAATATAATAGTAATAATTTGAACAACAATACGGCCAGTCAGCTTCCTACCACAAAAGAATATCTCTGTCCAACAGCGTTATGGAAGGCATGCTGTCATTCCTTCACAAAACACTCCCAAACTAATGATTTTTGAGATGTACTTGGAAAAAATTGAGATATAAGTTGCTGCAGACCGAAGAGGGAAGCAAGAAAACATCGTGTTGATGATCTCTTATGAGAGAAATCCAACTCCATGTGTCCCTTCTGACAGCAGCTGTAAATTTATGGCAGAGGGGCATCTCTTAAGTTGGCTGGTCAAATTTTCTGATAGTTGTGGCAGCACAAACAATAAACTATCATTTCAGTCTGGAACTATTTTTTGAAGTACTTCTTAAGTTTTTAGAGACAAGTGAGTAATTGCATCTTTTAGGGAGGAGAGGGAAGAAATGTCACAGTACTGCTGGATTTTCCCCCAGGACATTAAACATCCAAAAAAATGCATGCTCAGTTTTCAAGCAGCACTTGATCATGAGCAACTAGAACTGTATGTTTGATTTTTAGCTGCTGTGCTGGCAGCCTGTGCTTCTCTGGATGAATACATAGCGTGTTGATACTTGGCTGGCTCTTTGAGTTACTTAGTTCTTTATTAGTAAGGTGCTGTGCCTCCTTTCATACTAAAGCTTTATGCTGAGCCACGACCTCTTCCAAAAAAATCAGTGACTCTCGTGTACTAGGCACAGAATCACAGCCTAATTCTGTTGGGGTCTATGGACAGACTCATGCAAGGCTTCATTGGGACCAGGTTTTCACCCACTTTGTCCAGAGAAGGCCACCTGTATAATCTTATCTTAAAGAAACATTGATGAAAAGGTGTTTTTATGCAACTTTCAAATCTTGCAGGCATTAGAATTTAGAAAGCATATACCCAAAGGTTTACCAAAAGTTAAATATTTTCACAAAAAGAAAAAATCCTTATTCTTCTAGTAGGCAGTATTTCTACTTCTAAAAATTTAAAACAAAATGAAACAGATTAATTGAAAATTGAATACATATTCCCAATTAAGAAACTTTTTATGGACTAACATATTGCCTGAATTAGGCTCCCTCTGTAGAAGAGAAACAAAGGGAAATTGTGACATTTCTTTTCAGAGTAGGCTGTTACTGATTCTGTCTTTAAGATGTAATTATGCTGACAGCTGAAAGCCTCACATATTGTAGCCTAAGTGCATTGCAGTTTATACAAAAAAATGAAAAGTTCTAGCTATAGTATTTTGGTTTTTGTTTCTTATGTGTATGTTCCAATATCAACTTTTTCAGGAGTTTGACTCTGAAACGAGGAAAATAATAAGCAAGACACTTCGATTTGTTTCACATTATTATGGAGCATCATTAGTGGTGTGTATATTCACTTTCTAACTAAGGATAGAGAAGATGAGCAATGTTTGTGTTACAAAACAGTATTTAAAAAAATAGAAATGTAAAACTCCTATAGAAAATGGGATTTAATTGGTTTTAGAGTAGCTTTCTTCCTGAGCTAATCTGTCAAAACGGGTTACAGGTGTTGGCAGGCCATGGATGGATATACCTTGTGAACATTCAAAGTATGTAATTCCCAGTATCAGCAAAAACTAAATAAAAATAGTTACCTGTTAGCCACCTCGGTTGTTGCATTGAGTTTACTGCATGTCTGGCAAAATTTTTTTGGTACAAGAAAGGAGGACGGAAAAAAGTGCTTGCCCTAGATAGAATTAGACGGTCTTTTTTTGGCAGAAGCATGAACTTATCTAGTGACCTGGCATCAGTAGATGTTAAAAAATTAGGCCTAAGGTCTCATCTTCACAGCAGTTTAAGCATACCAGGTTACACCACTTACAGTGTTGCAGAATAAAAGCAGGGATTTTTTTACAGTAATGAGTAGGAACTGCCAACCAATGATGTATTTATGTTGATTTTGAGTTTGGCAGATCATCTCCTCTGTAAAAGCAGAAACATGCATGCTCAGGTTCAGAATCCAAAAAAGCTGCCTCTTGGGCTCTCTCTACATCAGAAGTTGGTTTTAATTGTATCAACCATCATTTATGTAATAAATAATATTGAAAGTGGCTTGATTACCAAACAACTTATGTTTGCTTTAAATTCTTATAATCACAGCGTGTCCTTTTACATCCGTGTAAGATTGTACAGCTCTTGTACTTAGACATGTGAATTCATCTTTTGTTAACTGAGATTACAACTGTCTAGATTTTTTTTTTTAAGTATTAAGCATTATTGTAATTAAAAATTAAAAACTAGGAGCCCAAAACTCTTTGGCTGCTAAATCCCTATTCCTGTTGAAATGAGTAGGAGAAACTTACTTTCCCACAGTAGGGATCTGACTGCTTTTATTAGAGACATGAATCTGTTAGGATACAAAAGCCTTTAGACAGGAATAAGCATGCTGTTTAAGAAGATATTCTGTGAGCTGCTTTCTAATAAATCTGTACCAGTTCTGCCACTGTGAAGCTGTTTTTATGACATATCAACAATTTTATAGTTATTCATTACATTTCTAAATGTTTATGGTATTCTGGATAATTTTTAATGTAGTTCAGAATCTTAACAATTCATTAGTCTTGGGCAAAAAATTTGTGACTCTTAATATGCATACTTCAAAAGTTTTGAATCAATATTTTAAAATTTATTCTTTAATCTTTATTTATGCTATTTTTCATTTAATCTTTCTTGACCTATATATTCAGTGACAAATACATTCATGTTCTGGAAATGGAGAGTGAGATTTTTATTCTAGTAAATTCAGTGAACATATACCAAATTTATTGAGGTCAGGAATTAGCCAGGCTGTATCTGAAATCATCTATGTAGATGACATAATGTAATATTTCTATGATGGAAGATTATAACCTATATTTCATTTTCTGATTCATTTAGTTTACCAGCAAATCTGAGGCTCTCCTGGTGAAAGCCCGTGTTCTTATTAACCACTTGGCATTTGGCTATGATAAAAGGTAACATAATTATTGTCTGAGAATTAAATGTCTTGCCCAGGGTCTAAAAGTACTTATTAAAAAATACTTTAATCACCAAAACATTTTTTTTTTCTTGAATATGATCCCTGAAAGATTCTTGTTCGTGCACTGTGACTCCTGTGTCTCAGCTGCCTATTTCTGCACAGGACAGTGATAACTCCTTGGTTTTGATCCCAAAATGGATGGATTAGAAAAATGGTCACCACTAGGATTGAGTAGATTTTTATTTACATGTATTTGTATGCAGAGCCTAGTAAGAGTCTAGTCTTGGCTAGAATAATGTAATTTTTTATCAATTGCTAAATGCTCACTTGATACATTTTCTTTTTTCTGTTTAGCAAGTCTGTATCAGTGGATCACAGCAAACCTCTGTTTATACCAGCAGGCCTGGATTCCCTAAGCCAAATAGGTTAGGACATTTCTTGTTCATTATGTTTCTTGCTTAATTGTCTTTGAAAACAAGAAGAAAAATTTAAGCAAATAGAAAATAAATTATAGAACATCAGCATCAGTTTTAACAGATTATTGAAAGAAATGGCTTAGAAAGTTTAAAATTATGAGTCAGTATTTATATTATTGAGAATTACTTGTGCATGTTTGTTAAGTAGTTTAATAAAATATGGGGACTACTTCAAATAGCAAAGTACCAACAAGCTTAGATCTGAAATAAAATATAACATACAATACCACTCAGCCCATTTCGTGTAGGAGATCAATAGTTTTTTCAGACTTGTTGCAGCTTGTCACTGTAGAAGATAAAATATTAAATTAGATGGCTCGTTATCCAAAATAATTGGATAATTTATGTTGTTATGACAACATACTTGTATCACTTTGTGCTGTACTGTAATCCTTAGGACCACCACCAGCCCCTGACAGTGATATTGGAAAGATGCGTGCAAACACACCGTTGGAATTGTGGAAAAAAGTGTTTGAGAAAACGTTTCCTCCCAAGGTAGGTATTTACTACTGAATTTTGTCTTTCAAGTCCCGTGACTGGAATTTCAGTCTCTCTTAGCAGTCCTGTTCCTTCCAACCTCTTTAATTCATACATTCTTAAAAAATACAGATTTGTATGTAGTGGCACTTTGATTATTAGCTTCTGCACCTTCAGTCACTTCACATTTAGTAATAATGAAAGTACTGATGTAACCCTCTGTCTTTCCTTGTATTGAGAGACAAGTTATACTCAATGTTTTTAGAATTTTTTAAGGTCACATATCCCCTAATGCCTAAACCAAAAGACAGTGATGTTCCAAGAGGAGAGCTCTTCATGGCTGCTGCAAGCTGCCTTGGTCTCCTAGGGCATGAGGCTTTGAATGAGGCGAGTGTGTTAGAGTTCCTTGCCAAAACCTGTCATTTTTGCTATGGGAAGTGTTTGGATTTGCAAGGTAATTAGAACCCCTTGGCACCTATGTGGTGCTAAATCTTGTACATATTTCAGAAGTTTCCAGTCCCAAGAGGCAACCCCCCTAATACTTCTTTTCAATAAAAGTAATTGTTCTTGTTAGGAGATCAAAATTCTTTTCTATTTGACCAGAGCAAATACAGACTGCTGCTTTCTCCTTGTGTACTAGACTGTATCACGGCTCTTTATCCCTGTCCATTTCTTGCCCTAATGCTTACCTGGGCAGACAAGGAAGTCAGTTGGGGCTATTAAATTATGTGCCTCAAATTATGGTGCACAAACTGGGTTTTTCTAGTTTCAGTCTGTGGATCTCCATTCTTGGTGAGGAGAAGTCTAAATCCACCCTTTCCCACTTACTTGACTGCTACATATCAAAGCCTACAAATGATTTCAGGTGGTTTGTGACCAGAATAAATTATCACTAAGATGCTGTTCTCAGTACAGTTTGCCCCAACATGATAAAAACTAAACTTTACTTTTCAGAAACTATACAGGACTGTTACTTTTCATGTTACTTTTGCTCATAACCTTTTAAAACACAATAAACAAACATCTCCTGCCCCACCCAATACTCCTGAACTCCCTCTGAAACAGCTGGAGAAGTGAATACATTTCTCATCTTGCAAGCCCCATCAGTGTTCTAACGTATCAGTTTAATTAAAGAAGATTTAAAGAAGATTTGCCAAGTAGATTCCTGGTCTTTTGTTTTGGTTGCAAAATATGCTTTAAACATTAAAGCAGTTTTTATGCATTGTGAATTTCTATCACCTCATCTAATAGTAATTATAATTCTGGATAATTTTATTCCATCATTTGTATAATTGCCTTCTTGCTACTTTCTATTTTTTATGAGTAAGGAGAAATGTACAGGACAATATCAAAAAAAATTTCTTTATTTGATAGTGTTTCTTTGTATTAGTGTATTTGCTTCTTTGGAATTAAAGTTATAGTTCCCTTAAGGTTAGTAAATGAAATTTCTGGTATTTGGCAAAAAAATATTAATCAATTTCTCAGTGATTGAAGTGACGCTTCTGGTAACTGGAACTGAATTCTAGTCTTGAGTATGAAATGTTCTGGCAAGAGTAACCTTAACTTTGCCCAAATGTCATAGGCCGGAAGTGATATTTTCATTTAGAGGAGAGAATAATAAACAACTACCAAATAAGAACACGTTCTTTCCTTTAAGATACAGCTGCACTATTACTTTTTCATCATTTTACCAATCTAAGATTCTTTTTTATCTAATCTGTATCCTATAGCACAAAATTCTTCCATAAATGCAGGATTTTAATACATTTGTATTAAAAGCTAATACTTCCATTAGATCTATAGCATGGCATTTTCTTGTTAAAAGAACAGAACATAAATTTTATCATTTGGGTTTCTGTCATTTCTTTTAGAGTTTCTGTGATTTACAAGATACCAAGGACCCTGCAGAGGATTTACAATACGCTGAGTATGAAGTTGATGTCATGAGAGCTCAGAAAAACCAGGTGTGTGGTTGTTCTCCAGTTGCTGTTCACAGTCAGGTATTCCAGAACACCAGCATTGCTGAATTAATTGTAGAATATACTCGTAGTCCCCTTTTTGCCTTTAAATAACTTCAGCTTTAGTTTTCAGCTTAGTAGCTGGTTGGGGTTTTTTCCATTGGTAGACATTAAGCTGGTAGGGCATTGTTAGATCTCAAAGTTTTGGCTCTGTAGTTTCTTTAGAAATGAATAATTCAAATTTTCCCCTCTAGCTCTCTTCCAGAATTATTTCACTAAAACAATATCGAAGCAAAGCTGTGAAGCTTTCTTGGCAGTAATTTCTTCATTTCTGCACCTTGTACTCTCATTTGGATGTTGACTAGCAGAAAGTCCAGGAAGGCAGTATCAAGGTTTGGCATGGGGGCTGTTTACTTCTTTTTATTTTTGCCTTCCTCCTTCAAAGCTTTTTATTTAAACTGGAAAGGTACTGAGGTAACATTTCTGACTCCAGTTTGCAGGCTATGTATGTTTTATGTTCAACAGAATGAACAGAATTATTCCACATAGTGATATTTGGCTTAACCTCTAATTCCAAGAAAGACCTTTAGTGGGAAAGGGTCTTTTATTTTTTTCTTATTAATTTTTAAGTCTTTCTGCATTTCCC